TATGCAACCATCGTCGTCCGAGATCCGGACTGGAAACATGGATAAACTCTGCACCTCAGCCAGCCGCGCTGGGTCCTTGCGGAAGATGTGGTCATCGGTCAGTAACAACAACTAAACGAACTCGTCAAAAACAAAACACCACGAATTCGCATCTTGGAAGACCTGAATTAAAGCAAACACCCATCTGACTATGCCAAACTGAGAAATAACTCGGTGTCTTTCCGGCATCGATCAGGGATCGATGCCACCGGATGGCAGTCCTCGAGGATGGCATCCAAGAGCGACTTGTAGAGGTCGTTGAAGGCCGCTGAGCGCCTCCCAGGCCGAGGGCGATCGGCGAAATGGACCCGATGAGGAGGAATATGGGAAACACATACTTGGTGGCAAAACAAAATCAGAAGCGCCCTTGGAAGACATGACGGAATTGTGTTTGATTCCTTCATCTACTTGGAACATGGAGGTTCCCTAAAAAAGGATCGCTCAACAGATTGGTTCATATTGGTTCAGGGGTTCCCTGATTGAAGACTCCAGCGCAGCGTGAGGATTGCTGGCTTTGCCTGGCCTGTCCTGCTCCCGCCAAAGGGTTTGGAGCCAGCGACCCTCGCAATGTTGAATGCAGGCAACCAGCTCCTCACATTGAAGATCCGTTTGACCGCAAAGCAGCTGCAAATCCAACCCAACAGACTTCTGCATGCAGGAGTGGAGGTTTCTCAACACTCCAAACCAATGAGCCCATATGTGTCCCTTTCAGTCTTCGAATTCATTTTGCTGCAGGCCGCCCACGACCAGAACTTCTTGAGCTTAGAAGCTGGACACATCTGGACACAAATACCGATCATTCCACTTTGGGGGAGAACAAGCATGGCCATGTCAAAGGGTCTTCATTGCCCCACGGGCACATCCGCGGGGGTGGGGCCACACAGCGATAGCTCCTCATGGCCACACTCGCGGACGCCCAACTCCCGGAGTGTTGCGAGTTCGGCGTTTCCATCCACCTCAGTGAGCTCGAAGTGGCTAAGACGGCTAAGACTCATTAAGTGAAAAAGACTAGACGACGAGTGGCCCGAAAGCATTTTTCATCACGTAGGAAGTCAGAGTGCGAGTTATCTGTTAAGTGTGCAGTGCGAAGTGTTGTCGAGTGAGTTGAGGTAGTGTGTGGGTTTCTGTGTGTGTATCTATGTCCGTGTGTATATGAGTCTGCGTATGTGTGTGTGTTCGTGTAAGTTGAGGCAGTGCGTGGGTGTCTGTGTGCGATGCGGCCTCCCAAACCCCCCACCGGCGGCCAAGCGGTGACAGCCCAGCTCATCGTCATGAGCATTTGAGCTGCTGGTAAGGGGAGAAGCAGCGTGCACGGCCCCAGGAAAAGCTCACGGAAAAAGACGAGCCGGAATGAAGACAGAAAAGTGCCGAGGCAGGTACGCAACAAGTGTGTCAAAGCAGTGAACTGTCAGAGGAGATGCGTCCAGCGATGTACGATCAGAGGTAACGTTTCCTTCACTCCAGGACACTAGCTTTTCTAGGATGTAGTTAACCAACCACTATGCTTGTCATTGACTAAATGACTGTGTCCAAGAAAAACGTGACAAAGTAGCATGAGGTGACACGCAGCAGGCACTGTAGATGTTTAGCGCACTCTCGCTGTTCAGCTCGCGACCAGTATTAGAGTGAACTAAGTAGCGCGCAGGCCTCCCAAACCCCCCACCGGCAGCCAAGCGGTGACAGCCCAGTGCAGGAAATCTCACTGAAAAAAGCGAGCTGGAATGAACACAGAAAATGCTGAGGCAGCCACGCAAGAAGCGTCTCGAAGCAGTGACCTGTCAGAGGAGATGCGTCCATCGATATATATCTTCCGGGCAAAAACGTTTACTTCACTCCAGGACACAGCTTTTCTAGGATGTAGTTAACCAACCACTATGCTTGTCATTGACTAATTGACTGTCTCAAAGAAAAGCGCGACAAAGTAGCGTGAGGTGACACACAGCAGGCACTGTAGATGTTTTAGCGTACTCTCGCTGTTCAGCTCGCGACTAGTCTTTGTACACAGAAAAGATAGTGTTGTGCTTCCGCAGAACGGCGTACACACAGGATTTGTCAGGAAGAAGTCACGGTATGAGACATGCAGTTGGTTATCATGTGAACATCTTATAATTTTTTCATCTCCATTCAGGGTATTTGCCGCAGAGGGTTGCGCGCGCGCCGGACGCATCGCACTCTCGCCTGCATTTCGCGCACTCGACACGCACGATCTCCGCAGAGGGTTGCACTTTCGGTTGACGCTGTTCGTCCCACCCTCCGCCTTTAAGAGAGAATTTATAAAGTGGGGAAATGTTTTTCATTAGGACATCTCCCGTGCTAGTTTTCCATGCTCACACTTGCCTACTCATTGCATGCTTGCACACTCATTGCATGCTTGCATATTCATCATTGCACTTTGCACTTGGATGCTTTCGCTCTTCCACTTACACTGGGGTACGTAACACTGGGGTACGTATAGCGTTCATGTTGTAGTGCAAGTGTGGTGGAAGTGTCAGTGTGTAAGTGTAAGTGTCGAAGTGTCAGTGTTCAAGGGATTTTCCGGAAGAACCCTTCGCAATGCTTTCGGGAACAATCTACAGAAGCTCAAGACTGGTTTACAACAACTGTGGTCAAGTTGGATCTTTTGCAACATCAGTCACTCGAAATTACATACCATTAATATCCATTAATATCCATTAATTGCATCAATGAGCAACTCCCCAAAACGTTAATTTACGTGCCTGCAGGGGATAAGTCTTCTCCCACCTCCATTCCAACAGGTAAGGCATTCTACTACCAACGGTGCACGCTGTGTATCCGCGCATCGGTGGTTGGAACACGTGTGCGGAAGGCGCAATGCTGCCGAGGCCACGAAGCTATAGCCACAAGCCTCCTGCAATAGAAAGTTGGGAATCCATTGGGCCGCTGGGGAATTGCCACCTTGGAAGCGAACCGGTGCCACTGATGGCGCTTCAAAAAATAGGATTGTTTTGCTTTCCATCTTTTCTTGCGAAACGCGAGTCCCGCCGTGGAGGGGGCCTGTTCTGTCGTGTCCTGTTCTTGGTTTCAACAGGTGCTGGCAGGTCTCATGAGGATGGGGGTTGGGGGTGATCAAAGCTATTGAGCATTCTGAACTCGCGTGTCGTGCTAGGGCCGCTAGGGGTTGGACTTGACCCAAGTACGTCGACGGCCTGGCCAAGTCGCGCAGCAAGCACTGCTCTGGGACTGCCTGGCCACTCTCCGTCGCCACACAGGCCTAGTCTCGTGGCGCTCCTTTCGAGCTACCAGGTCTATGAAACACGTGTGGACAAGCAGAAGTGGGAGATGGGAAATTCAATACTGACGAGTCTTATCCTGGGGCTTTTTCAAACAGTCGAGTCTCCTTAGGAAACTGCCGCCTTTCGCACGACAACAATAAAGCACTGCGAAAAGAACACTGCAAGTCCAAAAGGAAAGGGTTGGCCAACTTCTCTTTGTGGGGCTCAAGAGACTTGTGCATGCCACTCGCCATTCACATTTCATCGATTTTGTCGCTACTTCGCTTGAGGATCTGCCGCGGCAACCTGCGAGTGGGCCACGAAGATCCCCAAGGAACGTTTTGGCGAGAATAGCTAGCCCCTGTCGAAATCTTTAATATAAGACTTGACCGCTTGTGTGATGGGTCTGCGTGATCTTGTTCTTCCATGTGTGTGTTGAGGTGCAACTGGCGGATTGGCCGTCACCTGCTGCGCGATCTTTGCCAACCAGGCTCGATGTGGGAGTTGGGATAGCCACTGCTGCGGCAAAGCCTCTTTCGGTGGACCGGGTGATGTTCTCCAACTCAGACAGTTAGAGCAATAGGTGGATAGGAGGCTGTCGAAAGGTTGAGTACAAATAGGCTGTCAGGACATTTGTCGTGACCAACCAACTCGATGCTTTTGTAACACCCTGTAACACATGTAACACCTCTTGATGATTCCATGTAACATCTGTGTCTCCATCGTCTCACCAGGCCTGTTCGCCCAGTGCACAACCAAGCCTAGGTCCCGGCGTCCAAACAGCCAAACAGCGCGTGAAATGAAAAAAGGTGACATAGCAAGTCGCATGAACCTCAAATGACCGAGTTCTTTAAGGGATTGTTTAGGGGACTTGATTGCCAGATTGCCTTAGTGATCCTCTTAGTAGGATGAACTTGCATGGGTGATGAACTTGCCTGTGAGATGGTCCATCCCAGATCTAGATCTTCAAGTGCCCCACCTAAGAAGCTCTTTTTCGGGTCGGGTCGCATCTGAGCCACTCCGAGCCGTCTTTTTTGGGTCTTAAACCAACCTACGTCCGACTGCGCAGTCGTCCGGTCCGGTCCTTCCGCCCAGATGCAAGGCTCCGGCCACTGCGCAGTTCGTGTCCGCATCTCCGGCCGCCATGGTGAGCACATGTATTGCTTCGCAAAACCTGCCATGCGACCATCCCATCCGGACTGGAAGAGTTACCATCCGGATGGGTCACACATGGGGTACATGGGACTGGTAACTACACTCCCTGGAACTAACATGGAAGTGGATGCCATGGCCCCGAAAGGAAGACCATTTTCCACTACAAACAGGTGGTTTTCCATGTTCGTTTTCGGGAGTGTGTATGCCATACATGGATGTTCTGGGATGTGAAAGGACCTGGGAGCGTGTGACCACCAAAGACACAGAGTTTTAACATTGTTTCAGACTTGCCCGTGGGTGGCGGAGGAGGTTCTGATTACTTTCCACTTTCCAGAGGAGGGACAAGCTTTTCACTAATGTGGTAGTAATGGTAGTAAGTTGGGTCTTTCGAGTGATCCCGACCGATCCACTATACCGTACCTACAGAGCAATATGTAGCAAGCATCTTGAGACACACCCCCACTCAACACATTTGATCCAAAAGCCAATTGCTTGTGGCCCATTGATGGTCCACATCTTCCAAATACAGCTGAGACGATCAAAAGCCGTATACAATCAATCAAACATGGACATTCGCTTTGGAAGAATCCTTTTTGAACTCTAATCGACTGGGAGAATGATTTTCATTGTTTTTTCTAACGCCCCCGCTTTCTTGCCAGCATTATATCGAAGAACTCAACCCAAGAAACATCTCAGGTCCGGATCTGCTCTGGTTGAGGCTGGCTCGCAGGACGTAGATCGCAGCTGCCAAGCAGGTATTCACGTATCCTCACAGCGCTACAAACTGTTGAGCCCAACATTTATATACCACTTCTTTGGACGTGGACTGGGGATATTGGACGATATGAAAAGTCATATCCCTAGTGCAATGTCAACTCCGTATGGATTGAATTTACCGACTCTAGAATCGAGAACACATCAGGTGCCAGAAGGTCCAAAAAGCGGGAAGCATGAGGAGGGAATGACATGGAAAGACAAACATGGCCCTGGCACACATAAAGGAACCGATTATGGAGGCCGACCCGTCCGTGTCGTGAATTGGTTCTGTCTGCGAAGGATGATGCAGTTGCACCATGTCGCATCATATAGGAAATGATGGCGTACGTTGAGGAACGATAACCAGGATCACATGTCCTGTCTTTCTCTTTGCGGAAGCCATTGGAACATATTGGAACATCCTCCGAGATTCCCGATCTTCCACGATCTCCGGACAATGGTCACAGCAAGGACGCTACATTCGGGGCTCCTGGCCTTACCTAGGAGCAAGGACGCTACGAACGGAGCCGAAAACCACGGCGACTTCGTCTCGCGCCGGCCCGGCCTAAGGTCTCCGTCTCGTCGGTCACTGGCAGCTCTGTGCCTCGCATGGCCTGGCGCAGCTCCTCCAGTGCACCGGAGCGACGATAGCTGCGCAGCTGCGCCTCGTCTTCACTCCAAGTGGTGCCAAAGCCAGCACAAACGGTGCCTGAAGTGGAGTCCCGGAAGGAAAACCATATTGAATTGTGTTCGTTTTCTATTGCTTTTTCAAGTTTTTTCTCTCCGGTCTGGGGAGAGTTTGGTATGGTTTGGAGTTAGGAGGGTTTCTTTATTGAGTGGATTTGGGTGGGTCCAAAAATGTGAAACACCTCTTGAGTTAAAGCTTCAATCAATGGGACAGTTGGCCTTTCGACAACCTTAAACCTTTTCTGACAAGCCACCGGAACCAGCTGCAGGTCGTACATGGCCACAGACTTCGCAGTGGTCTTTGGAGGAAGGGTTCTCCAAGGTGCAAAGGCTGCAAGACCACACCAGGCTGGGCATCACTCCTTGGAGCATCCATCAGCGCCGAGATCGGATCGGGAAAGGTGTACGTCTATGTGTAAACCCTGTATGCAGATCGTGCAATTGTAATGTGATAATATATGAGATATGTTATGATTCGATGCAATTAGAGCTAAATTCTCCCACCTTATCATCCCTGATCACACTTATGGTCAATGAGTAGCTCTTCATTTTCAGTGCTAAGATGCTGCTTCTGCAGTCGCCACTGCTTAGCTGTGCTGAGGCAAGGTTCCCAGCAAGCTCTCCTCGATGAGATATGGCTCCGCTGCTGCACAAGCTTCTGACAAAAGCCTATCGATTCCTGCACATCGATGAGTTCAAGTCCAATGCTTTGGAAGGGGATAGAGATGGATAGAGGGAGGATATCCTGGCGTGATGACCATTTCCCCAGAAGGACGTTTATATATATATATAATTACAGTATAATTGTATACATATATAATCCCCGTTGCTACCGAATATTGAGGTTCACCCTCCATTTTATTTAACAATTGCTTATTATCTAAAATGACTGGTAAGACTTAAAGACCTATACATCTCATTTTACTTAAAACGTGCAAAAAAAGCATTTTCGCAGAAAGTTAGCTAAAACGCGCCTGGAAGCCATGATTTCAAGAAAGTGGGCGTGGCGAGTTTGAAATCCTGAAACATTCATGAAGCAAAGGTAACAAACTGAAAAACAACTCACAAGCACAGATCAACGCATGAAGCTCCTTTTTTATCGACTTTTTCTTTGGTTTTTGTCCAGCGCTTTAAAAAACACAACAACACATCAAGAACGAAGCCAATTGAAAAAACAAAACAAAACACAAAAACATGAAACAAACACACATTATGCCGCACAGCTATTGTAGCCATTTTGGTTCTTTTCAAATGGTCAGCCATTTTGGATTTCCAAAATTGAAGATAGAGGCAAACCATTTTTTGGGAGCGGGGCAGGGCATGCTCACAAACACCTATACCGCATTTTTTTAAAACTTACCAAACTGGCTAATTTGACCGTGCAAAGAGTTCATCCGTGTTATCCACTTTATTTAAGACTTATTTTAGATAACCCTTAATTAAACTAAATTAGTATATAATCTGGATTTTCATGGATTTTCCGTGGTGGACCACACTCGCTTTAGCTAACCGGTAGCAACAGGGATTACACGCATCATAATACATCATACAGAAACATACCAATATAATTGTTACATCCTGTGTCCACAGTGATGTTTGACAATGCCGCATTTTCTTTGCGTCCATCAAAGAAGCAGTCGTACATCGAAGGTCACCAGCTTTTTGCTGCTTCACCAATCGTAGAGCTGGCCTCGTGGACCAGTTTCCAGCATCAAAGACACCAGCTTCGCCACAGCAACACAAGCTGCCGTGGACCTGAGGGGTTGAGGGACCACACCAAACTTGGGCATTGGACTCATCCAGACCTGCAGTGGGTAGGCAGGCAGGCAGGTAGGTTGGACAGAATGGAACAAAGCACCCTGGCTGACATCGAAACATTTATATATAATTGGCAGAGACGGAGGACCCTCCCAAAGTACCCCCTCCTTCCTCTCCTCCACTACGTCCAAGCGGGCCTGGGGTCTGCATGCGTCACCAAAGCAATCGTCTTGGCATCTTCTTCCACGTGGTCTGGACCTCGTCCCCGTGAGACTTGGTCTGTGCTCGTGAGACTTCTGAGGGGTGAATCGAGATGAATCGAGCTTTGGCCAAATCCTGTCCACCGTGGAAAGGGGAAACGGGGAAACCAAGAAAAATGAATGCGGCGGCGAGTCAAAATGGTCGCTGCGCGTGCCCTCCGTGGCCAAGCTGCGTAGCCCTGTGGCCGCGGCTCGCATCAGAGCTCCATTGGGAGCCATGCAGCGCCCGGTCACATCCCAAGCCCGCCGCGCCGCGGCGTGGGGCGCCCGCAGGAAGTCGGGTTCGTCCAGGACCCTGGCAGTGCTCCTGATCCAACAAATATATCTGGAGGTGCTGAGCTGATGTTCAGAACACAAACACGTGAAATTGCACGCCAAAAACGTGGAATTCACGGAGACACGAAAACCTCATGCATCTTAATTTTTAATGCTCTTCTCATCCCTCAGCACATTCAGCTCCTGCCCATGCCACAACCACCGGAATCACCTAGCTCGGGGAAGCCAACCTTATGCCAAGCGAGCAATTTCTGAGCAAAGTCGCAGGCATTTGGAGCGCGTAGTGGCCGACCTTCAACCTCTGGAAGCATGCACCTGTCAAGACGCTTCAACCATGTGTGACAAAGCCTTGCACTGCACTTCGAACACGTCGAACGCTGGTTACGTCACATGGCACCCCCTTTTTGGTCAAGGAAAGCAGTCTTCCAACCATTTTCCCATCCACGTAACCATGTGATGTGTTCGTCAGAAGGAACTGTCGTAAGGAACTGCCGGTGGCGTATGACAGTGTGACACAACTCTTTCATCACAGTCTTGACCGTTCCTCACCTAGTCCAGTCTTCCACCTCCTGCCTGAGCACACAAACCAATTGGTCGGTGTCATCCGTCCAATCGCCAGGAATCCACTTGCTGCGATGTGCATCTCGTATGGCATCCGAGGGCTGCAACCAGCCTGGCAAACCTTTGTCCTGAAGGGAAGGGACACAAATATGTGGCAGAAGGTGCATCCTTTTGACTCGGTTTTTGACTTGCAAGTTTTCAGAGCTCTGCGAGAAACCCCAAGACTCGAGTGAGAAAATCAGTAATTATGTTAGAATATATCTCCAAATCAGACCAGAATTTGTTGGGTGCCACTAAGTTGGGCCCCTAGGCTGGAGCCATAATACCCCATCTTTAGGCTCCAGCAAAGAAGACGAGTCGCCTTCCTTGAATTGAGCAATTCGCCATAAGCCGCACACGCCTCGTCCCGAGTCATGAACCTCGTGACAGTGCCCCGATCCAACATCATTTGCATCAGGCAAATTATTCGAACCGTGCGGCGCTGGCACAGGCGTTTGTTATCATTTGTATGCGCTTGGCTGGTGTCAGGTGTCAGGCACGCCTGCTATATCATCTTGGTCAATTTGACCAGCCTAGGCCAGGATTAAGCTAAATTATATTTGAATTAATATTCTTGAAATCATGGATCGAGGATGATCGGGGCTTTCTGCATCTCAAACAGGATTCTCGAATATGATTTTCATCAGGGTCTTTGAGAACTGCGATCGACCGTCGAGACGAGCAACTCACCAAACCTCCAGAGTTAGAAACATCGATGAGGACCAATGAAAAAAGGGGAATATCAAGAGATATAAAGACTGTATGACTAACGCCCCTGCCCCCCCCGGTCCTTGGAGCAGGGGCGGAGCTCTCTCTATTTCAATACAGACCCAATTGTGGCTGACTGTCATCCTAGTCTCGGAGTTTACGATAGTTTACGTACGACCACAGTGATCGATGATCACACACGGATACACACTCTCAGTCGCGCACTCGGTGGCAAGGCCCACGGCATCTCCCAAAGCACAGCCCAGCACTAGCCCGCGCACGCGATCAGCTCTGTCCATGCTGCATGGACATGGCTTTGAAGCACTAACCCTTGGAGACGAATATATACATGATTCTATCAGAAAATCCCATCGATCCCGAAAGCCAATATCTCCCCGTTGTAGTCTGTGCACTGCCAGCCCTGGCGGCAATCATATTGCTCGTTCATGGAGTTTATTGGCTGGGCAGTCTATTGGCTGAAATCTTGGCAAGAATGAAGGAACTGGTGGCTAAATGTGGGCAAGCAAAAATGGCATCGACCCCAGGCAAAGCATTTGCAACGTAAACCTCTCACACGAGGCTGTGGGCTGCGAAGATCCCAAAATGGCGGTAATAGCGGTGCTTACAATAGGATCTATGATCCATGTTAATCCCAGTCAACACTTCTGCAAATTCTGAGTACTGGACGAGGTTGCGCAGCTCCTCCAGGATATGTTGTCGCACTGGCATCCAGAAAGGCTCCGCGGGCTCAGTTCCCAAGTACTCCAACGCATGAGATGCGATGTCAAACTTCTGCTGGCACGCCTTCAACATATTTGCCCAGCTCAGCAACCAGCCATAATAACGAATCAATTCCAGGATCAAGTCAATCGAACCGAGCAATGCCAGGTGGGAATCATGTTGAATCTGTCCTCATTGTTCTTACACATTTTTCAATATTTTTCATATTTTTCTGTAAGTCGCCATAGTCCGCTACATCGATAGCTTCGATACATAATATATGTTGGACACTGCCCATATGTTCCAAACCTTTATTCAACACCTGGGCATCCCTTTGTTGGTATTCCGGCATCTCCGCAACTTCCTCATCCCCACGGTCCCGTCTTGTCTCGCCTTGATGAAGGCTGGAGCGATGGCGTTGCGTCGCCGCAGGTTCTCCGGCGAGCGGTGCAGGTCGGCGCGGCTCGCGGTGAGATGGAAGGGCGCTTGGATGGCGAAGCGGAAGCCGACGGAGCGAACCGGCAAAAAGGCAAAGACTCGCTGCGGAGGAGGATTCGCATCCAAGACCTTGTGGAGGGTTGAAGGAGCAACAGCTTTGCACACACAAACTACGTAGAGTCCTTGAGTCCACGAACAAAGGCTGAAAAGCTTGTTTTTGCATGTTTTTGCAAACTAAGCAACCAGTGGCAAAGCAACCACCACATCTTCATGACTATTCACCTCAAATGAGGTCGTCTGCTCACTTTCCAGGCCGTAGCTGTGCTCTTCCTTCTTGAAAACTTGACAACTGGTGCTTGTACGCAGGCCCGTGTGGGATAGCTGGGCGGACATCACTACCATGGAATCGCCCGCGTTGGCAGTGAAATCACCGCGAAGACTGATTTGCATCACTCTTCTCAAGAAGAGAAGCTGTGCAAAGTCAGCTTCCATTGTCTGCATTTCTGTGCGAATACTTGGCAAAGAGGAGCCTGGATCTGCCAAAGGAAGGTAAAACACCTGGGCGTGAGAGCATGAGCAAGTGCCCTTGCACTGAGTGGTCTCCAAGTTGCTTCAAACACAGGTGCAGCCAGGTGCAGCAATCTAGACCCTTGTCAAGAGATTTGATGCTCATATCTTGTTCCACCAGAAGCACCCAAAAAAGACCACGAACCAGACCACTAATCCCTTCCCAAACCACACGCGCAACTCGAATCTTCGTTGACTTCCAAATCTATTCCTTGTGCCCGCGGCCTTCATTCTCCCGGACTTCCCTGATTCGCCTCCAATCCACTGAGGTTTCTCGACCGAGGCACCGTTTCACCCCTCTGGTGGGCGTCGAGGACCTCCGAGGGGAGGCGTCGAAGGTCCTCCTCTGAGAGCCAGGTGGGTGTTAACCTGCACGGCGGCACGGCGTCAGGCTCCGGTCACGGCCCCGGTTACGCCGCATGCGACGGAAGATGGTGAGAGGCAAGATGAGATGTGGAGATGAAAGATATATGGCTCACCCCAGCCACCTTCCTATACGAAGAGCAACCTTATGAGGACATGAGGTCCTTCTTTTTAAAAGAACGCGACTTCAAAGGTTTTTGTGTGAACTTGAGGCCAAGGGGGGGGCGAAAGCTAGCGCTCCAGAATGGGAAAGTGGAGGGCAGCGAGGTAGGAAAAAACACGGCGCTCTTTTTGGAGGCAGGGGTGAAGAGTCCTTTATATGTGGCTCTTTGCCCGGATCCTCCTGCGAGAGAAGAGAGAGAAGAGAGACGGAAAGACGAGAGACAGAGAGGAGAGAGAGAGAGAGAGAGGAGAGAGAGATGAGAGAGATGAGAAAGAGATGAGAGAGATGAGAGAGATGAGAGAGACAGTGAGACAGTGAGAGAGTGAGAGTGAGAGTGAGCGAGTGCGGCCGCAAGATACGCAACGCTAACCGCATGCCAAAGAGCGACGACAGGACGGAGTCGAACTTGCGAAGAGGGAGGAGGGAGGGAGGGAAGATGGGAGGAAGACAAGGAGGAGGAGAGGGGGGGAGGTGGGGAGAGGGGGGAGGGGGTGAAAGAGTGACTAGGGCGTACACGGTAGAGGTGCAGACCGCTAGTGTCTTTTATGCGCAGAGTCTTATCCTCTTGCTCTTTAGGTCCATTGACCCTCTCTTGAGCCTTGAAGCAGTCAAGCATGGACACACTATATCAGCTGTTGGAGTGGAACCCTGTACAGGTAGGCTCTACTTTTCAGCAGGCACAAGATTCATGTCCACTTCTAGCTGATTGCGTATGTCGCATACTCTTTTTCTACTGCAAGGCTAAAACAGTCCAGCTAGCTCTGACAACTTAAAAGAAAACTACGGTGCCATGTACTTACCTAATCCAGTGTGTTTCACACTTCAGAGAAGGTAATCTCATAGCTACTAAATACAGTGAGGGAGCAATAGCTGACTCACCTCAAGTACAAAATCAAATCGATAATGTACCTCGGCTGGAGACTGTACTTTTCGCAGGCGGAGATACCATGTACCGGCGCTCACTAGCTCTTTATGGCCTGAGCTAAATCAAACTAAAAAGGGAAAGCGGCTTTTTCTCTACAGAGACCTATAAAAGAATCAAACGACACTCGCGTAACAAAGAACTAAAAATTCAAGACCGCACAAATTGCAATGAATTAAGATGCCTTGCAAAATGCAAGGAGCGTACGGTCCGAGGAATAATCTTCTCGTGACGTGGTCTCGACCGCTTTCATTCACAGACAAAATAAACTGCATCAAAAGGACTCTCTTTCACATTCACATCAAAAACACAAGAAGGAGATACCGGCAAATGTATGTACAAAAAAATCTTGCACTACAATTGCAAATCTTGAAATGACTTAATCATCAACCATGACTGGTTGTCCATTAGAGGTCATCTCAGAAAAAGCGGCTGTGATAGATATCATCAGTTGTACAAAACTGTCCATACCTATCCAAATGCTAAAGCATATAAACCTGGAATGCAGGAGTATCTTCTTTGATAAAAAGTTTCTCCTCATTGCAAACCAGAATTTATTAAAACTTCAGCCTGGCAACTTAAATTAAAGTCAAGCCTGGAAGCAAAGTATCAACTGTAACCAGAAGTATCTTCACTTCCTAGCCATCATTTAAATTTCAGCCTTCGCTCAGGAATTATGCCGCTGCAAACGATGAAGTTGCTTGATCAGAAGTTGGCGGCCTTCCTTTCTTTCTATTCTGTTTCTGTCTCTCCTTCCTCCGCAAGTTAGCCTCATGAAGAGTTGCTCCCATGCGATACTGTCTTCTGTCTCCAGATGAAAAGGAAGCTGGTCTGAGTGAAATAAACATTGGACCATGACTGTCCTCGTCAGTGGGCCTTGAGCACATAACCTCTGTATCAATCATAGCAAAGTTCTCTGAAAAATTACAGATGAACTCCTTCGTGCTCACTGTGGAATTTTCATATTCCTCTTCACTCATTGAATGACCCCATTCAACAATGGTAGACAAACATGTATCGCCAAGCTGTGATCCTTGGTATTCTTCTCTTTCAACAGTAGAATATTCTTCCCAGAGTTTATCAAAGTAAACTTCACACTTCTTGAGGACCTGTGAAGTTGAACTGTAAAATGTTCTGGGAATAGGTGCTTTGATACCAAGATCTGCTTTTACACGAGCTTCTGAAAACCTGCGGATCCAATGCTGCATGGTGCTGTAATAGTAGTTAGCCATTGGCTGCCTTTTGTACCCAGACATTCTGTAAGCCAAACTATTTGCATCACCAGAAATGATGTCCACCTCATAGACAAAACACTCGTAAAGCATCAATGCTGTCTGTTCTCCTGTCAGTAGGTGGGCATCCACAGCACGGTGTGTATCAACATGATAATTACAGACTCTGATGGTATGCATGTTCGCTCGAGTAAGTGGAACACGCTTGTCCTCAGGACCATAGTCATCAAATTCAAAGTCTGTATCCTTGAAATCTTGACGAGGCCTTGTTTCTCCAAAACAAATCTCGTAGATAGCCCAAGTTACATCACGCTGTTCACAGTGACCAAGATCTTGGTCATGTCCAGCAATGATCTTGACATATCCACCTGGTGCCAATCTAGCCATCACTGCAAGATTCTCCCAATCATTGAAACAAACTGTCCAATTCTTTTGCTCAATAAATTCCTTGGCAGGAACAAGAAGATGAGCTTCCTGGAGAATCACGACATGTGCACGTAAAAAGAAGAGCATGTTGAAGAAAAGGTTGTTCTCAAATTGCTCATTCTGAAGTGACATGGCGCTCTGTTTGCGTGGCCTCATTGCACTATCAAGTCCTTGGAGAAACCTTGGTGTGGTGTACTTCTGACCACGAACCATGTTGCCATAGTTCCAGGATAAAAATGTCAAGGACTCTGAGCTGGCCAATAAATTAGTTCCATATGGTTCTTCTATTCTTCCCTTGAGGAACCTTCTGCACAGCTCTTCATAGAAGGTGACAAAGTCCCAACTGGGTCCCTTGGGACCATATGATTCCAGTTCCTTCTTGAGTTCCTTCTTCGTCTCCTCCAATTCTTCTCGAGCATGTTCTGCCCTTTCAAGGGCCTTTGGATCGACCTGATACCTGCCATCCAAATAAATGATGCGGTCATCATTGATGAAGAATCTCTTCAAATCATGCTCTGGTTCATGTTCATAACAATCAGGTGGAGGTACTGGACAGATATTACGAATGGATCGAACAAAATCATTCTCGTTGATCCTCGACTGATAATGAGGATGGGAAATCTCACCTTTTCTAAAACAAACATGATTCAGCAATCTTGCATGAGTTTCCCTGAAGCATAGTTGATAAAAGCCAATACCTGGATCTCCTGTAATCTCTCCAAGCAACTTCAAAGGTGAAGTATGCAATTCATAGGTATCGTCAGCTTTTGTTGTATCCTTTTCAACAACTACTTCAGATGGAAAAGATTCTTGGATTTCAGCCTCCAATTTCTTCTCTCCATCATCCTCTCTGACCTCTTTTATTTTCTCCACCGCCTCTTTCTTCTCTTCCATGGTTGCATCATCCTGAACTTCTTCATGAAAATGAGGATCAGGAATCTTATTCAGGCGGCTTCTCTTCGATTTCCGCTGACCTGAAGTATCATCAAGGTTAGCATCCATCTACAAGATTTTCTCCCTCGGTTCTTGGAAGAGGTCCTGAGGTCTCATAAAAATCTGTCCTCTCTGAACTGAAAGCTTCTGTCGCCTTCTCATTGTCCTTTTGATCCCTGAACAGGTGAGTAATCTTCACAGCTTCTCCCTGTAGCACCTGATCACCTCCTCTATACTTGTCGACAATGGAGCGCCATACGGGAACATCATCATCATCAAAATCAAGCTCCATATCATCTGCCAACAGGTATGAGATGTTTTGAGCTGCCTGTTCTTCTTCTTCATCACGTTCCTTGGCAAGCTCCTCATCCTTCTGGATCTTGAAGATACCCTTCAGGATGTCTTGTAGTACCTTTAAGTTCAGCTTCGATGATGGCTCATACGTCCCTGAACTTACAGGCTCAACTACAACACGAGAGCAAGAAATCGCCTCCAAAAACTTGGAATTGTATTGGCGTTCAAACTCTTCCTTCTTGATCATCTCATACAAGGGATCAGAAACTGCAACACGCGCCTGAACATACTCACGAAGTTGATAGCATGCATGTTGCACAAATCTACTGTTGGAGTTGTGAAGAAAACTCTCCAAATGATTCCTGTCACGGTCAATCAAATACCACACAATCCTTGCAGAAAAACGGAATTTCTTGAAGTTCATAGCAAAATGTGTATGATACTTCTCTGGATTCCTTTCTGCTTGTAAAGCGGCCTCTGAAGTCTTGTAAACAGGAAGTTTTGTGTGTGGATCCAAGATCATAAAATCTTCCCACAAGATCGAGTGGTTAAGAACCCACTTGGGAAGCACCTTGATGAAAAAGTCACAAACAAGTTCAGACAAAAGGTGCATGACACGGCCAATCTCTTCCTCCTGCTTGAAACGATAGTGCAATTTGGCAAACGAGGGACTGTTGAAGGCTTCCTCCACTGTGTTGCCAAAATTATCCCACTGAGGTTCTGGAATACCAAAGTTCCAACCCAGCAATTTGGGATCTCTGCACATATCCAAGAAGCTTGAAAGTTCTAAAGAGCCAAGGCCATGGTCTGTCAGAATTTCAGCCCAGCGGCGTCCATTCTCCCAAGCACGGATGAAGAAAAACTGTTGGTATCCAGTTTGTGCCAACTCCATCCACTGAGAAATTCCGGGTTCAAAACTCGGTGCATACGTCTTGGGGTCTTCCTCTGTTCCATAAACACTTGGACGTAGCAACTTGTACCTTCTACAAAAATATTCTCTCTGGTGCCTTGTCAACCTGTCCCAATCCCTCACGAG